CCAAAAAAAAATATTGAGGTGTAAATATTGTATGGAATGACCCATATAACAAAAGCGAAACCAGAATTAAAAAAAAAACATAAAAAAGGGAAGTCTAAATTCGTAATTTGTAATAAAATAAAAATGCAAAATACAAAAAAAAAAATAAAACAGTGAAGTCCACATTCGTAATTGATAGAAAAATTATGATATAAAAAGAAGAACAAAAAATAACAAATACCAAAAAATTCAAAAAGTGAAGTCTAAATTCGTAGTTTAGTCTCCTCCTGGTGGGCTTAGGAAATAACATTTTATGTAGGCTAATTACAGGCGTATTTTTTATGCCGGCCGTATCGGGCCATTTCGAATTTTTGAAATATAACTTAAAATTCGTGATCAGTGGGCCCAAAAATCATAGAGTAACAAGTTTCAAGCGAATCCGATTACCTTGAACAATATTGTTCGCCATTTAAAATTTTTAAAATCTCATTTCAGATTCGTAATCACCGATACCAAAAAACCCCCTGTAGCAAGTTTTAAGCCATTCCGATAAGATTTCGAATATTGGCCACTTTTTACCGTTTGCTGGCCCATAGTACATAGTAATGTTTTCATGTCCCTTTTAATGTGTTTTGAATCTGTACGATTTACGAATAAAACTAAACAGATTTTTGGGTGTCAAAGAGCACGTCGCGGCCAATTGTCTCATACCTAATTTTTACAAAGGCGGGGCAGAAGCACAAAAAGTGTTCCACCGTCTCATCCTCTTCAAGGCAGGGGCAAATGGAGTTGTCATGTGCGCCTACCATATTCACGTGTTTGTGTCACGTGAAGTGACCAGTCAGCAGTCCAACAAGTTTTCTGCAGTCCCGTCTGCTCAGTGAGAGCAAAAACTAGGCAGACCTTTTGAGATTGAAGGGAACATGAGCTTTGCCCACCTGCAGACCCTCGATGCCTCCCAGTCATTTCTGATCAAAGTATTCTTCCAATTCCTGATCGTAGCTCCGATGGGATAAGTGGGGAGTGCTATAACTCGTTGCAGACCGATGAATGCCTTGTCTGAGCCAACTCTGGCCAAATGGTCAAATGTCTCATTACCAAGTACTTTCGAGTGGCCTGGCACCCAGAGTAAAGCAAGTTCGTAATGTTGCCAACATAATTTAGTCGAAACTTGCATTGCCGAACTAGTTTCGAAGTAGTTAGAGGGTTGTCCATTGCCTGAAGTGCAGATTGGCTGTCACTGCATACACGTAAACTCCTTCCCCTCCACCTATTTTCCACCAGTAGTCCATGACCTTAGCGATTGTAAATACCTCAGCCTGGAAGACCGAAGCATACTCTCCAAGAGAAAAGTGAAGCTTATCCCCTTTAACTTCGATAAAGACCCTGGCCAAGAGTAAGTTTTGGAGCCATCAGTCAAGATTCGACAATGTATGAATCCAGGCTCAGTACTGGTATTAACACAGCATTCAACCTCCGGGAACTGAATATTATAGAATCTCTTCAACAAAGGAAATGGTTGCGTAATATCCTGTGACATTGAAAAGACACAAGTGCTCAGGTCCCTGTCGCCATCAATTTCTTTCTCGGAAATAACGCATATAATTTTTATGCGCTTTACTTTATATAAATAGCTTTTAAATTTGACTCATCCTTATTATTTTATTTTTAAGCAAACATTTACCAAACCAATTTGAGGTGATTGAACATACACCAAACAAGTATAAGCCTGGCTAAAAGTATTCAATAATTCTAATTTATGTATAGAACCATCCTGTCAAGTTGAGTTAGCGGTGAATCACCAGCACTTCATATGAGTAGGTTGAATAAGGAGATGGATAAGCAACAAGATTTTACGGGCGTGCTTAGATCAGTGGTTACCATTGCTGACTTTGCACATCGATGTTGAGGGTTCGATTCCTGCTGAAGTCTAGAGAAAGAAGAGGAGATGCGGTGATCCTGATCTTCGAAGTAGCAACTATAACCTCTACCGCTTAAACTTTGTTGCTTTTTTAACTTTTTCTAACAAAGACATTGTTGTACAAAGCTCAATAACATAGTTAAAAGTAGTAATAGTAATAAAAAACACCACTTTTTATAGTAATTTTAAATATCTAACAACTACATAGTTACACATACAAGTTTTGTTGTTGTTGAATAGTAAAGACCCAAAAAAATAAGGAAAAAACAATTTTTACGTACTTATGTTATTACGGGCCGTCTTTTTTTAAGTAAGTTTTAAAATTTATCTGCACTTTAAACACAAATTTTGTCATGGAAAATGTGTCTGAAGGGCAGATAAATTGGAAATGCTTGAAAAAAACGGCACTGCGGATATTTTAAATTTAAAAGTGTTTAAGGGAAATGGATGAAAATCATTTACTTACGCTCGATTAAAAATGTCATACAAATAGTACATCTGTAAATACTGCACACATACACATTAATGTAGTGTTGACGTTGTTAGAATATTTTAAGACTAATCCAATGTACAAATAAAATATTTATAAAAGCTGAAAATTGGTTTTCATATGTATATGTATGTATGTATGTATATACATATGTACATAAAAAGTTAGGGTGACATGAAATTGTGACCTGTAAACAAGATAAGGTGAAAATGCGACAATGTTGAATCTACACACACACACACACATATGTATACGAAAAACTGCACAAATATTGTATTTAAATGAAATGTGAGATTGAGAAAAAACGAATTTGTTAATATGTATGCATGTGCTTATGCGTCCACATGTGGAAGAATCTAAGCGTTTCAGAAAATAACATGCATTCTACTAAATGACTATAGGCCGTTTGCACCATCTCTGGTTAATTTTAACACCCAGTTCAGCATCGTTATCGGCTCCCTGCATATAACACCGATAAAGCAATCGATTTGTTCAACCGGAGGTTTTTACCTTCGGTTACTGTTGATCAGACATGGTGCAGACGGCCCTAAATGAGTGAAAGGAGCATAAGACAAGGAATGTATGTGTGTATTTGCTAGATGTATGAAGGCAAGAATATGTAGCTAGTACATAGGCAAGTTCTTGCACTTATAATGGGATGAAATGGTTCATACGAGAGACGGAAGTTGGAGTGTATGTACATAGGAATAGTAATATTTTAAAGTTGTATCTATGTTATGTTTGAATGCTAGTATATGCTTATAGACAAGTACGAAATGATGTTTTGGCGCCGAGCTTTTTGGCTTTCGGAATAATGGTAGCACCAACACCAACAGAGCATTACCACCAACGCTACGAATCGAATAACTAGTGCAACTTAAAACATAATCTCTTGTATTAGATTTCGCTAAGCGCTAAAATGGTAAAGAAAAAATTATTAAGATGTTTTTCTATTTGCAATATGAAAACAAGATTACGGATTGAATAAAAAAATTGTGACTAAAAAACTTTCTAATTCTATGCATTCGAATTGGTAATCAAAATTTGGACACAAAATAGGAAAAGGCCTACGATGCAGCTATTGCATGCGAGCAGTAGCGATGCTGCAACTAGCAGGCAGTATGCAACGTTGGTTAATTACTACTACTAGTTTTATAAATTGGCAACACTGATTACGTTGAATTCTTTTTGCCTTCATGCCTGCTGTTATTTTTGTAGCTTTGGAATTCTGAACATGCCGCGCCGCTCTGTGCATAAGATTTGCAAAAGTTCTTTCGTTTTCCTGTATTTTTGTTTCTCGTTTTTCATATTCAATGTATGCTTACTCAGTATGACCAACAGGCAGACCAATATGGCCGCCAAGGCGCCCATGCTCAACTTCAGCGTCTGTCCCTCCTGCACCAATTCACAATTCTCGCCCCAAAAGCCATCCGGACAGATGCAACGGTAACGCAGACGTGGCTCTAAATTGATGCAAGTGGCGCCATTGAGGCATGGCAAGTCCAGGCATTCATTGCGATCCATACAACCCTTGGCGTCTGGCGACATAACGCGTCCTTCGCCACAGCTACAAAGCGTCGACGTAGAGTATGAGTTGTAATATGTACGTAGCCGTTGTTGATGAAAGTTTATTTATTTTTTGATGATTATGCACAATTTATTGTTGTTGTATATTCAAATTTATTTTATGCAGCAATGATAGTTTGCGGTGACGACGATGGTGGCAGTTGTGGTGGTGGTGGTGGAAAAGATATACATACATACAATTTATTTTTATGTTTAAATATTTAATATATGCAAATGCTTATATTTTCAATAAATTATGCTTTTAGAAATTTGCATTGAAATGAATACAAAAGCATGAATACGATGATTTTTGTTATATGCTTAGGGTTTCACATGTGTATGTAGCAAATGGTAAGAGTACGAATAAGGAGTATGCGTTTGTGTGTTTTGCATGTGATGTTCACCAATCTGGGCACATATGAAAGTGTGTTGGCTTAAAATGTACATACATATACATACATATAAAGTACATCTTGGCAACACAAAGTATTGAGCACTTGAAAATAGAAAAAAAGAGAAAAAATAGTTCTTGAAACTGTCAAGAAATTCAGTTTTCATAGAGTGTTCTTATTGTTCCATATTAACAATTTGATATTGTAATCACATACAAATACATACATACATATATATGTATTAGGGTCGCCCAAAAAGTTTTTCCCCGAAAACAGTAGAAATGTCCATCGAATATAAGAAGACCCGTATTTTTTACTTTGAAATCGGCTAACATTTAACCGTGGCGCCGGGACTTTGAGTTTTCATATATTTCACAAGGAAAATAGATAAATTTTTTAATGGAACTGATACAAAATTGTTAAAAATAAAAATTTTATGATCGAATAACAATAGTACCCTTCAGAAATCTTCTAAAAATAAAATTATGATGCATATTTAACATTAACAGTTTAATAACTAGTGGAGCTTGGAAAAACATCGATGTTAATATACCTGTGGATATATTAGGGTGAATGGCTTGGTTTTCCCAAACCGATTTTAAATATTTTTATTTTATTTTTAAGCGGGTTTTTTGGATTCTAGATTTTTCGAATACCGAGTAAACCGAATTTTTTTGTATGTAAACATTATAAATATTTACAGCCCGATTCTGTGCACTTGATAAATTAAACATTTTTATAAGTTGGCAATTTTTTATTATTTATCAAAAATTGGTATTCTAGCTTAGAAATCAAAAGCTCTTTCCTTGATAAACTATCAAGATTGAAAATACTATTGACAAGCGTTTACAATAAGAAATTTCATGTAAAAATGATAAATTTTCCGCCAAATTCTGTGTTACCTTGACAAATTATTTGTAAATCATTTTTATCAAGTTAAAGCTCCCATCGCATTCTGTGTAAATCTAATATTAATACGCTAACATAAATTTTGTCTCCGTTCGTTTGGCGATTCTACCGAACCGATTTCAAAACCAAGAGCACCGTTGGAAAGGCATTTCCGATGAGCAGAGTTTTTATGGTTTTACAATTGATTGAAAATTACGGCCAAAACCGTCGTTTAAACATTTTCGAATTGTGTATAATTTAATTTAATAATATAATTTGACATGTTTCGCCTGTTGTTTCACTACACATTTGAAATTAAGCTTTGAAATAAAGATAAATATGAAGATGAAGAAATAAATGATAACGACCAAGTAAAAAAAAGAAGGCAAAAGTAAAGATAAAGACGAAAATGAAGACAATGACAGATACATAAGAATTAGGGTAACTGAAAGGGTAAGAACATTTCTTGAATTTATGAAGTGAAACTTCTTTAGCGGCAGTTGGTTGGCTGGGAGTAAATTGTCAAATTCAATGGGAATAATGCACATGGAAGTAGTTCTCAGCGGTTTAGCGGTTTGAGAATAAAAACAAAAACAAAGATGCCTAGAGGTACAGGCAAAAACGAAGATCAAAGTAAATTTAAACACTTTAAGGTAAAGGTGAAGATGAATATGCAAAAATAAAGATAAATATGAAGAAAAGGATGAGGATGAAGATCGATATTGTTATCGATATAAAACTCGATATTTTTCTCGATATAATAATCATATTGTTATCGATAAAATAATCGATATTGTTATCGATAAAATAATCGATATTGTTATCGATACTGCTATTGATTAATTGACCGCTATTGTAATCGATATAATAATCAATATAATAATCGATATTATTATCGATACAATAATGGATATTGTTATCGGTATAATAATCGATTAAATAATTGATTTTGTTATCGATTTAGTAATTTATATTGTTAACGATATGTACAATAATCGATACTGATGATTGTTATATTTATCGCTGAATTAATCGATTTTACAATCGTTGTATTTTTCTATATGTGTATGGATATTGTTATCGGTATTTTTATCAACACAGTTATCAACAGGGTTATCGATACACTAATCGGAACATGGAATGTGATCACATTACATGACATCACATCACATTTTATCACATGATATGAAGAGACATCACATGATATTACATCACATAATATGATATCACATCACACGATATCACGTGACATGACATCATATGATATGACATCACATTATAT